GCAAGCTTTCCCAGCCTTTAATTGACTGAGACTAATTTTTTTTGAACACAGACTTGTGAGTAGTTTCAAAATTATGCATATACTGAAAGTCTCAAATGTTTTATGTGTCTGCTGTGGCTTTGAGAGACCTTCTCAGTGATTTTGGCTTCATGACATGTCCGATTGGGAACAAAAGCATCCTCTGTTTCCTTGGGGAGAATCGACCATGCTTTAACCAATGGGTGAAAGCACTAGGCTGAGGACAAACAGTCATAACAGAAAGCAGCCTCTCTGACTTCTGTAGCTGGCAGCCCTACCAGCGCACGGACCGGGCAGTGATGTGGGAGCAGTTGTAAACTGCTACAGAAGCTTCCCAAGAGCTTGTCTGGTCATCCTCCTAACTTTCTCCATTTATAAAGTCAGATTATCAAAGCCTTTTCTTGGGCAGATCACAGCTGTTCATCATCCTCCCTAGGGAGCAATTCTCTCTCTATTTCATAAGGGCATTGTAAATTTAGTTTTAGTAATTACAAACACTGCTAAGATAAAGACTCATAGAAGGATGGAGATACCTAAAAAGCAAAGTGGGAAAAACTGGGGTTCTAAAAACCTCTTTGTTGCATCTGTAAATATTTTTGATTTTTATAGTAAAGTCTCAGAGGACCCAAGTTTCACTTCTGGACATTCCTCCAAATGTCCAGAGTCTTGACAAAGGTGAGTGGTCAGCCAGGCACCTAGGGGGCACAAAAAGCAAGTGCTCCTGGAGCCGTCTTACCACAAGCTACAACCCACTCTGTGATGGGGTTCTCAAAACTCAGCTGCTGATGGTATTTTATTTGAAGTACATTTCTTACATCCTTACATTTTTACATTTTTACTGTTTGTGAAAGACAATGTGGTCCATTATGTGTCATCCAGTCTTTTCCAAAGACTGTTAATGCATTTGACATTAAAGTGTTCTCTTGTAAAATGCAGCAGTAACCAAAGACTGGCAGTGATGCTTCCCCACTTGAGGGATATGGTATAGACCCGTCTTTCTGTCCCCAAGCGCACGCACTGGAACAGCTTCAACAAGGTGGATGCTAAAAAGAGTTGAAAATTAGATCTTATTTAAGTACCTTAACTCGGCCTAAAGACTGGATTTGGACCATACAAGCAGTCTTTAGTAGAGCCAGAAGCACCACCAGTCTGGACTTTTACTACCTTTTATCTCAGATAATATCTTACTCCTATGATTCTAAAGTGAATATTTAACTTAGCTCCACCTAGTTTCCGTTTTCTCTACTTTGTTTCCAGTTTTCCTGACCAAGTCTAGTACCCACCTATTGAAATTCTGGCTGCCATCCGAACGTCTCTGAAAAACAGTCCAGCCACCCCCTTCAGACATATCACAGAAGGCAAGGAATTCATTAGGACTCTGGACAGGTTTCATCTTATAAAATCCACTTTGCTTGTGTCCATCATTGTAGATTTCTGCACAATCTGTTCACAAAACATCCATTGGACACAGTTCTTTTAGTCCTACACTTACTAGCAATAACAGAAATCACATCATGTCATATAATAGTCACATACGAATCAGGCTAATAAAAGGAAATACTTCTGCAAATGTATTTTTATGACTTTTTGGCATTCTCTTGTATTTCTATTGCTTTAAAACTGGATTAAACTGCAGTTATTTTGAAATTTCTTTAAATGAAACTTTTTTTCATCTTTTAAATAATATTATTTCTGTTTTCATTTAGAAAAACAAAATAATTCACCTGCTTTAGATGGAGTCACTTCTAATTTACGATGGTATAAATCACATTAAAATCCTGTTGTGATTAAACAGCTTCTCTACATAGGAAACAGCCAGAACCTACGCAAATATACGTGGACTCTCGCGATCACCAGCTCACAGAACTGCCACAAACGAGAGTTTGGAATCGCCAAGTTAGAAAAAGGGAACAATTGATGGATCTGAGACTCTGCTGCCCCTTGTACCAAACAGATGCAATTATAAATAGAAGGCTACCCCTCCAAAAAGTAAAATCTATGACTAAAATGTTAACATTTTGGTTCGATTCTGTTTTCCAGTCTGTCTGAATTGGTGTTAATGACTAATTATCACTTAGAGCAATGAGAAAATTCAGAGCCTGTGAACAGCAATGCAATTGTATAATCTTTTTCCTCTAGGATTTAACTAAGAAATGAGAGGAGCTCTTTGTTTATATGTAATCTACCATCAAGCAGTCATACAAGAAATACGTATAATTTTCAATGTTTTTGTTTTTCCTGGCAAAGGTAGGACTGATGAACTGTAAGATTTTCCTGAAACCTTTATGAACATTATGTTGGCTGAGCTTCCAGGCCGGTTTGGAACTTCCTGAACTATTTTATTTCTCCTCAGTGAAAGCCTCAGCAAAGATTAGATATAGAAAATAAACAATTTATACTGAAAACAAGTAGCTGTGCCAGGATTTGAACGAACCATAGTAGGAAAAAAAAAAGAAGATCTAAGTAACACCTAACCAGTCTTCTTGGAGAATGCTTGACTGGTTTATAGGAAATAGCTTTTCTTGTGACCATAGATTGCCTGGGAAGTTAGCAAAATCCTTAAACATGTTCTGATTTTTAGCAGGTGTCCATACTGTGGAATCCCTCTCTCACTATCTAGACCCAAATTATCCAGCTCTGTTGGCATTAAAATGCTACAGCAGTGGAAGATGAAATGAAATAGTGTAATAGTAGCAGAGAAAAACATTTTCAAGGAAATTGATACAAATAATGGAAAAGGGAAAAAAACAAACCAGAAAACAGAAACAACAACTTAGGTCTGTCATTTAAAACCAAGTTTAGAAAAACAACTTCAGGCACAGGCAGTTTGCGAAGAAAGGACAAAGACCTTTCTGCTAAATGTGGTTTTAATAATATTTTCAGTAAGGGATGAATCAGCCATAATACTAAAGAACAGTTTTCCAGAACACTGAATACGTAAATAAACTATAAATAAAACTCAAATTTAACGTTGGACTAGCAACTGCTTTTAATTCTATTTTAATGATGCTTTATTATATGTGATGCCTTGTTATATGTTGTGATTTGTTCCAGAAGCATCAACACAAGTAAATTGAAACAATATGATTCAAAATTATAAAAGCTTAGAATCTAGCACTGGAAAGCTAAAACCTCTAGGCTGTATTTTGAATCCACTAAGAAACTGGAAACTCTCATGTCCCAAGTTGAATCAAACTCAGCCAAAATGGTGAACATTAAGAATATTATTAAAAGGAGAGGCAGGTAATATATGCTTATTTATATGTGTCAAAATAGGCTCCATGGGAACTTTACAGATAGAAACTTATATTTCTTTTATATTAGAAGAGAGGATTGTGCATGCCAGCTAAATGCAATTTTGGGTTTAGATGTTGAGTATCTTAACTTCCACTGAAGTCACTGGAGGGGCAACCGTGAGTCACATTTGATGCACGTCATTATCCTTCCTATTATGCCGAGACCTCATATTTCACAGTGAGCTACTTGGTGAGCAGAATATGGAGAACTCAGTATGTGTTGGGATTATGCTGTCTCTTGTGCAATAAAGAAAAGTCTCTAACTATTCCTTTTTTAAATCTGTAGCATATTCCTTCATTGTCTTTCAAAGAATTCCTAAAATTCTTTCTTTAAACTATTCTGCAGTGGAATCAAGTTCCAGCTTTCAATCTAGGTTCAAGATTTGACTTTCAGCTTATATTTATAAAGCATTATATTACAGCATTAAAGGTAGAAAATTAATGTTATGACAGGAGGTTATCTTCACTGGTGATAAAAGGGATAACAAAAGATATTTTATTATCCCTTGAGCCACTTGACATAAGACTGTGTCATATGCAGCCAACATATGGCATGTAAGCACATGAAAAGGTTGAACAACTAGTAAGTGTACAGTGTACATATTTCACTCCTACAAATGTTTAACCTTGGCAGTTTTCAGAATGTTTCTGTTTGAAGGGCACAGCAGGTTTATGGTACTTGCACCTAAAATCCTCTACTTCATCTGAGGCCTACACAGTCCATTTGTTCAGCTCCTTTATCATGATTTTCAGTCAAATCTCTCTGAAGGTAATCAAGAGTTATGAAGCTCAATATATTTTCCATCACAACAGCATCTTACGAAATCACTTTTGATAGCTTATTATAAATAGAATATTAGAAATTGCTTAGATGGAAATACTTCGAAGCCTGAGGATCCCAGTAGGTGTCCTATATCTGATAACTCTTGAGCATTATCTGTCTTTTGTAATAGAAGTCAGTTCTTTCATTGTGCCAAACCACAAAAGCCACATTTTTCCCCACAACCAGTTTAGTCTGCAAGTTTCCTGTTATGATGAAAAGACCACTAGAACTCTCTACTACTACTCTTTTTGGTATTATTATCTATACAGATAGGTATTATTTTTTATTTATAGTATCCCTGTAAACACTTCTCTTCTTTGATACTGGGAGAAATGTCATCTTAAATATTATTACTGCTTGCAGCTGAGATGACGGCTGGTACTTTCCCCAAATCTTCTGGGGCTTTATCAGCCAAAAATATGACCTTAGAATCTAGCCAGAGACTGATAGACAAGCAATGCAGATCATACAGCTTCTGTGTAATATGTTCCCATTATGATGTCTTATTTAAAGAGAAAAAAAAAAAGCTAAAAGCAAAGCCTTTTATCACATTCTAATCCACTTGGATTTTCCAGACCACTGTTAAGATAAAGCTCTTTGTAGCCAGCACTGCCTAATTTTCAGATATCTCATGTATTGTGGTTAGTATATTAGATTTGTATGTCTCATCTTCACTGAGGAGAAGTACTCTCTGTATTTTGGCTGAGATAATATCTCAGTGTTACAGGAATGTGTGTGTTAACACAGTATCTGAAACTGTCCTTTCTGAGAAAGTGGTTGCCCCTAAGTTGATAGTGCTACAGAGGAATTTAACAGTGATGAAGTTGTGTTAAGGTGGTCACGAGCCAGGTTAAACAGAACCAGGGGATTATCAAGAGGTTTCTGAGTGAAGAAGTCATCTTGAAAAGAAATACAAAATAATCATTTGTATAACTCATGCTTCCTCTGACAGGGGGCACGTGTGAGTGTAACCTTGTGAGTGTTTGGATGGGGCATTAAAAGTTTCTGAGATTAGTTGCAGAAGAGTGTTTAGAGATTTGTAACTGTTTATTAACATTTTGCAAATGTCCAATATTGTGTTTTATTTGTTGTATTGCTGACACTGAATCTGATTCTATTGTTCATCAACATTTAATTATTTGCTATTAATAAATGAATAAACTGCTTTGATCCTGATCTGATTTATACCATGTGAGCTGAACAGTTTTACCCTGTGACAGTGTAACAGCTGAGCACTGTACTTTAAACAAACAATTTTCTATGAGCTTTTAAGACAATGTCAATAGGCCTAATTGTGTTAAAGCTTCTGGGTATCCTTACAATGAATGGAAATGAAAAGAATGGCTTCGCTTCTAACCTGAATACTGTCTTTTTCCTCCCAAGTCAATGACTTTGTTTTCATCTCCTCCATCATTGTACTGAATCTCTTTCTTCTCTAGAAGCTGTATAATTTTCAACTGCTGCTGTTTCGCACGATGTTCCAGAAGTCTCACCTGGGCCTGAAGTCGCAACTGTTCTTGAAAACAGTTCTGTAGATCCTGCAGAGGAAAATACACCAGATTGTAGAATCAACTTTTTTTTTTGGTCAAATGTGGAAAAAAAGAATAAAATTTAACAAGCTAAAACATTTCTGTCACAATTTCCTACAAATATTATGTTGATTCCCACCTCAATTGCTATCTCTATTTAAAAATGTTTATTAAATTAGAGTGTGCAGTCCAGCGTACACCTGCTTTGTGATGGGACCTTCTCTTTAGTGGCTAGACTAAAAGCTCTTGCTGTAAATATCTACTAGGGACTATGGCACAGACCACATAGATTCCTTATTCTTTGTCACCTCATCTTGGTCAAAGACTTACTATCCAGTGGCAGATAACTAATATTGTGAAGGCTCTAAAATTTTGTGAGTTTTAAAGAAATACAAACCACACTAATATTCAACTCCAGTGTTCATTTTTCAAATGCTTTTAGATTACAGACTTCTTATGATAAGAATCTTAATATCCTCAATATAAACACTCTAAAGCTTAAAAAATAATTTTTAATATTCTGAAATAAAGACCCTAAAAGATGCAAATGTTCCTGAAAAATAAAGATTAAAAGCATAAAGACAGTGTTTTGCTTCAACTTGTACACTAATTTTGCCATGCAGAGTAGGTGAAAACGTGTTTATTCTCATATGTTAATACTTTGCACACACTTCACTCTTTTACTAATAATATACAACACAGCAGGCATGGAATAACTGTTCTAAATCCTGACATTATGAAATCCTGGCATGAACACAAAGCAACAAATAATCCTTTTTGTTTAAATGATTATGGCAACCTATCCAAAGTGAACACAACCCAATCCAGGGAACTTAAAGAAAAACAGGCTGTACGTTTTCAAATATGTATTAAACATACCTGATTTCAAGATGGTGGGAAAGCCCTTAGCATTTTAAAACACATCTTCCAAATGTGACATTAGGTTTTGAGTCAGCAACACTTTATCTGCAGCTTTACACAGGCAAGCAAAGTTCAGCAGCTACAGTGCCTGCAGGAGCACACAAGTGGCTCTGTAAAAGCAAGCTCCATGGTGATGCTTTGGAACTCGGACATTTATGACCAAGTATGCAGTAATTCTAGATTAGTTAAAGCTCACCCATAGTGCCACATTATTTACATGACCTAAGGATGGAGACCTGCAACAACTGCTGTCCATACGTAGAAGGGCTGGTAGAACATTGCCCTAGGCCACTGAGGGAATGCTGCAGAGAGCTAAAGCAGCATGTGGATGTGCAGCTTTGTGCAATCAGGGTCCTGCGCTTCTATCAAGAGCAGGACAATCAGGCTTAGACCTCATCCACTTTCCACACAAGCTCCCACAGAAAAGTTCCTTAGCACTTTCTTGCCACAGAGATTATATTTTTCTTCTGCCTGGAAAAGCAGGTTCCGTTCCATACATTTCTATGCAGCAAAAACGTGATTCTTGTTAGACTGACTTCCTTGATTTTGTGAATTCAAGTAACAGTACTAATAAGAATTGGCACTTTCTCAATCTACCACATGTGGGATTTTTTTCCATAATTAGTTTGTGGTTCTCATTGAAAATATATGTTGTTTTTCAATGAGAACCACAAATAAGCAAAAATATATATTTGTACAGTCAAGAAACACCCATATGAACAGCCACAACTGTGTCCTGTTACTTCTGGTAGAACTATTTGCTGCAGGAGTCCAAGCGAGGTAGAGATGAACCAGAGAAGTTTCAAGAGAATATCTGAAAATAAAAGAATGCGTGTGGATGCATTTAAAAGATGTTTTCTATCCATCACATTTCATTTGCCTCAGATATTTAGTCATGTTGAAAACAAATTTGCTGATCAGGCATGTAGACTTTGCAGAACAATCCTGATTATAGGTCATTGTTTTAAGTATTTCTGCAGTGTATAGACGTTTGCTTTAATTCGGGTAATCTATTACACGTGTTGGAATACAAAAATGGGGAATACACGTGTCTGAATTAGGCAGTCTGTCAGTAACCTGTTCCTGAGGAGGAAGTCCAGCTGTCTCTACGAGGTCAGGCAGTTTGACACCAGACTTATCACACCCAAATTCATCTGCAAACTCCAACTGCTGGGGCCTGGGAAGCCATTAAAGACGTCTGGCCACAAGGAGGAGCAGTAAAATGAGAGGCAGATTGACCAAACCCTATAATTCTTTCGAAGGATAAAGAAAACTGTGAATGACCTAATATCCCCAGAGTCCCATCTTATTTAAGAATTCTCCCTTGCAACTCTTTTTCAGTTGATGTTAACTACAGAAGATCCCTGCATAAGCACCTTCTTTGCCAGCAGGAAATGAGAGAAGACCTTAAAGAAAAATATGCACATCCAGAGACTTGTGACAGAGGCATGTTGTCTGCCAGCACCATAAGCACTGCCTCACGAGTGCTATGGTGCACACTATAAAGGAAGGCTGTGGTACTGTGCAGTCTTTCCAGGATGACTATTTCATGTATCCTCATAAGAGCTAGGCTAAAATTTGGAAACACAGAGAGACTTCTTGTCAGCTCTCTGCAAATTCTGAGAGCTAGCCCAGCACATACAGAAAATGATGGAGAACTGGACCAATGTACAGCTGAGAGGGGAAAATGATTTAAAAAATGAAGTTTTTAGGCTCACCCAGATGGACTAATGCTAACTAAAGAAGTAAATTTGCCAAAAAACTCACCCATGCTAACAGTCAGATCAGATATTTACAAAATCACAGAATGGTTGAGGTTGGAAGGGACCTCTAGAGATCATCTAGTCCAACCCCTCTGCTCCAACAGGGACACCCAGAGCATGGGGCAGAGGGCGGCATCCAGGCAGGTTTGGAAGATCTCCAGAGAAGGAGACTCTACAACCTCTCTGGGCAAATTAATTCTAATCATCTGGGCTTATTAATTCTAATCATAATGAGTTAACAGTGAGAAAAGCACCTACCGTGACAATTTCTGCAGTTTTACACATTTGTTTTACTACGAATTTTAAATTTTTATCAATCTAAAGTCCAAGTCCAGACTCAGCTCAGGGCTCACAAACTTGTATAATGGGGTGACATTAAACTACAGGGAAGACTTTGGCTGATCCATGGAAATGCTGCCCCTATAGCAAGGCCTCTGTGGCCCTGAAGTCACAGGCTGGACTTGAGTGGGGAGGTCTCTTTGACTTGTGCTGGGGCTTGATGCAAGAAGTGCTACTTTTGCTTTGGGGGAAAAAAAATGAGGATTGGGAGCTCCAGGCAGCTATGTGCCATTTTTTTATATTCAGTGAAAAATCAGGTATAACAGCCTGATTCATACCGATAAGAGCCATTCTCCTATGGATTAAATTAATGATTAAATTATATAGCTTTTAAAAACACTCTGCTCAAAAAATCTTCAAATTTATCTAAGAAAACATTGATGTATACGTTCAATATGAGATTACTTCATATACCACCACAAAAGATCCATTCTTTGGAATCAAAACTAAATATCCATCCAAAGTACTATTTTTAACTTTGCATTTAAAGTTTATGTTTTCTTTTTTTCACTTATTATCTTCCAAGTTTATATACCTTACAGAGGAAAATTGGTACATCTACATTACACAAACGTTTATATACCAAGTTTATATACCTTATAGAGGGAAATTGGTACATCTACATTACACAAAAATTTCCCGTTAAGGAGCATTTAAGATGACAACACTGGTAAATACCAGGTAATAATCAATATAGTTGTACTGAATAAATATAGCGTATGAAATAAATGACAGAGCAGAAATAGAGTTTGAAAGTAACTTATACATGAACAGTGCTAATATCTGTTATTTTGCTCTTTCCCCCACCCCATTCTAGCCTCCTCGTTGACATCTCTTTCTATGAACTTCAGACAAGCCCCATAATGTTTTATTGCTGAGTACCTTTCTCATATATGGAAATCCAAATCTATTTTTTCTATGGGACAGTCACAAGACAGCTGCTTAACTTCAAGGTGGATCAGTGTGGCTCAAACATCTGCAGGTTACAGGACTGCTCTTTTAAAATATTACTCTTGCTTTTTCACAAGATAACTCCATTAAAAGCACTGGAGTTAAGCAAGTACATAGAGTAATGTGGTAGCAAAAATATATCCTAGAAATATAGTGTAAGAGCTAGGAACTGTAAGATACTGCTATTCCTTTTCTCAGACACTGATCAAAGTGAAACTATGAGGCTAATAATCAAAAAATAAGATTTTGATTGTGACGGTCTCCAGTGGACACTGTAGCCACTGACAGAAACCAGACTGAAAATAACCTGTTGTGCCTGCTTTCCTGCAGCAAGTGCTTGCACACTGAGAAGCAATTATCTAACAACTGCTGACAGCTCTGCTCCTGGATGTGTGGTCCCATATTTAACCCAGCTGCTGCAATTAATGTGCATACACAAGCAGATTAGGAATGAAGCAGAGCCAAGACAGGCAGTACAGGACTGCTGAGATTAGAAGTATTTTAAGTAGTGGCGTAAGTGTTTGCACAAATGTGGGGTTTTTTGAGAGGTAGGCTATGAGGACGAATGATCTGGGTGCTGGGAGCTAAGAAACTGCGATCAGTGTCTGTGAGTGTGGATTATAAAATAGCAAAATGCCAGCAAGTGAGAACATGAGGCTGGGAGTCTTATAAATGCCATTTATACAAGGTTCCTACCAATGCATGACATCTCTTGGTAAAGATATCCTATTGCTTCCTTTTTGATGTCTGATCCAGGGAGCTTAAGATTACTTTCTTCAGCACTAATGCCCAAAGAGTTATCCTCCATTGTGTATTTATACATTTGTTTTCTCCTTCCTTGACAGAAATTAATTTCCACTAGACATCTTTTGATACCTGGTAAATCTCAGTTTTTAATTTATTCTAAACTCTAATCTTCCCCTTCAGAATGTCTGCAACATTGTCAAGCTGTAAGCACTGTGGAGGGCAGGTATTAACATTTTGAAGAAACCCTAAACACAGACTTAACTAGCAGGACTTACAGAGCTGTCAGTGCCGTCCACCAAGCTAGCTGCAAGGATAAAATCAACCAATATCAAAATCTTCATTCTTCAGAAACTGCAAAATAGAATAAAAAATAAAATTAGTTAAACATTAAGTTTTTACATATAACATCTTTAAAGAGTTTTTTTTTTTTTAATATGTCTGATCAAGCAGAATTCCAAACCTCTGTGAAACTGAGATCTATTCCTCTAGGCCACTTTGGATAGGAGGGTCTCCATGTATTCTAGGATAGTCATTTGAGGTTAAAAAATCACACGGTCTATTATGAAACAAGGTAACATCAAAATACCCTTCAAAGTGCTCTGAAAAGCAGAATAACATTCCTTGTCAGTCTGCTCTCTGTTACATTGAAGTAATTAAAATCTGAGTTTGGATAATCGTCTTTGAACTGAATATCTTATGACTTCTGTGTGCCAGGAAAGCACGAAGATAATCTTTTTTTCTTTCTTTCCTGTTACAGAGTAATTTTGGAAGAAAAAATGCTTAATTGCAATGGTGACAATGATGACATCTGCCAATTGCTGGCAGTAGAGTATAGCTGTACAGTACAATCACTGTACACTACAGCATTTGAAATCCTTTCAGTTCAGTAAGCCAAATTTTTACTGATTAGTTAAACTGCTGCAAGCTGTCAAGTGAGGAATGTTTCTTTTTTTTCTAAAAGTATTTTGATCTAGCATACATATGCTAACTTCTGTTGAAACCAAAATATGTGTCTGCTCTGTTTTTACTACTGATTGAACTAAATCATTTCATTGCATGTTAAACCCAAACACATTTCTGGTTAGACAAAGCATAACACGCACATAGATTAATGATTCCATTTCAGAAAGCACTTCAGCATGTGCTTATTGAATCATCACCTCTGTGGAAAATTCCATTCCGTCTCTAAAGGAATTAATACAAATCTCCAGTGGAACTTTGGCAGTTCTTCTGCGCTTCTTACTGTTTAAAGATAACCAAGGTGGTGGTGTGAAGTGGGTTTCTTACATTCTTGTAAATTCAGGCAAATCAAACTTCATTTGAATCCTATCTCTGAAAAAAACTGCAAGAATAGAAATTACGGCCCTGCCAAATTTCAGTTTTTCATCAACTTGCTATAAAACACTTAGGATGATTTTTAAAAGTACAGCTACTCTATGTAAGAAAGCATCAATAGCTGTTTTTAGTTCTGAGTTTTGCTGGTTTGAAAGCATTATATTTGTTTTTGGTGAATCTTTCACATATGATTGCTAGAGGGATTTTTGCCAAACACTAAGCAAAACATAAACCTCTGGGGAGGGCTGTGAGGTGAAAATATCCTTTAACTAAATTTCTTTAAGCAGTCTTAAAACCTGTTTTGTTCTATGCTATGCTCTTTAACAGAAATTTCTGAAGTTATCTAAAATATCTGGAAGTGCAATTTGCGTATATTCCGGTCGATACAAAGCATGCAGTTCTCTTGTGGAAGATTTGTAGGTCAGTCATGGCACCAAATGAGGTGCTTGTGAACTCCAACCATCCATGGAAAGAAGCAAAGCTAAAGAGGCAATTGCACACACTTTTGCAGAAACAGAGGGTTCAGTGCAGAAAGTCAGAGGAAGAGGAAAGGACTTGTTGGCAGAGCCTGAGTTTAGCAGGGCTGCTCCGAGATCCAGCTGCACTGTAATGCCAGAGGCTGCAATTCCAGGAGAACTTGGGGAGCTCCTGTCAGTTCCCTCCCGTGAGCGGCTCCCAGAATTTTTCCTCTCTCCACTCTGTGAAATATGTGCCTTGTGGTTCCCACATACTTGATTATTTCACTATATGTTTCAAAGGATCAGAAGATTCACTAGGTTTTGCTTAAGGCTTCCCCACACTTGATATATTAAGTAGCTGTGATCAACTCATATGAAATTCTACTGCACAGTAATTGTGAAATAAAATGGAAACTTCCAGGAAGCATCAGGCTTTTCTGCACATTGATATTTTGTGTGCACTAACACAATGTACAGCCCCCCAAAATGCCTTGAGCATGGACAAGTGCCCGGGCAAGCAGTCTTGGTGCTGTTGTTCCAAAATGGGAAGAAAGATGCAGAAATCTAGGAAGATGCATGAAAACCCTGGCTGAGAAAGGAAATGGTTGCCCTAACCACTAGAGAGCAACAACTTGAATGTTGCCATATGGGAGCATGCTGAGATCAGTGGGCTTAGTGACATCCGGTTAATAATATTAAATCAACAGTCAATAATATTAAGTAATATTAAATTTTAATAGTATGAAATTATAATTGTTGGACTGCCCAAACATAACTTGGGTGAAAAAGAACAAAGTCACTGGTCTTGCATCCCTTGTATAAGGATTCATCCTAGTCTTGCAACTTGTATAATTACCTATAACTCTCAGCCAGTTTCTCAGCAGGTGCAGATTCCTGTAGTTTATTCATTCCATAATTCCAGTCACATCAGATTTGGCAACTGTTTGTTAGCCAAGTAATCAAAACTCACAGGGATTTAAGAAGCGGCATATTTTCATATGATGGGATCAGGCCCACATATGTACAAATTGCTTCACACACACCAACTAAATTCACAGATTCAGTCTTGCAATTAATATTGAAAACTGACGGCTTAGTTTTCCACACTTCTACATAAGGTTTTTAAAGAGTTTGTTTTAGCAATAGTTCTTTGAAAGCGTACATCCATCCTCTCTGGTAATATGTGAAGTTACAGCTGTGTTCAAGCAAAGCTCAAAAATCTCACTCTTGGAGGACTGCTTTGAAAGTCATTTCTCATACTGATTTCTCCACCTGTTAAAGCATTTACCCTGCTTGTTATACAGCTATTTAAATACATTATTCAGAAATGTACTTGTAGGCACAATAATTAAAAGTGAAGGGAGAGACCACAACTGCTGATAATCATTTATACATAATGAAGTAAAAACATTCTGCATTTAAAATCTTACAAATTACAAATCTTAGTCCATGTCACAGATGAAAACAATCACATAATTAGCAAACATTTTTGAGCTGCTGATACTAGCAGATCCAAAGAGATAATATGTCCTGAGATGCTTCCAACACTTTTCTCATAATACCAGCATTACCTAATAAAGCAAGCAAACTCGTGCAGGGATTCCTCTCCCCAGAGAAACCTTAATCTCAAACAATAGACATGTAATTGATTATTGTACCCCATTTTAGAATGATAAAACCACTGGAGCATTTTCAAGTTGAAGGTGCAAGCTCTTAACAGCTGAAAATAAAGGATCACTCTTTATTTTAGTAATATTGAGGTTTATAGGCAGTTCTTGTGAAACTTGGAAACTTTATACATATGAGGTTACTCATACACTCTTCCAAGATTACATTTGGAATGTGCACTTGTATTGCTGTGCAGAAAAGTCTTCTCCTATAGCTACTTAATGGCAGTTCTAGAGAAGTAGCTTTGAGCATTTTTCTTTTGCACTGTGTCTGTGCCTGGGCTTTCTTTATGGGCTACTCAGGCAATCCAATGTTCAATTTTTTCCTGAATGTCATCTTTTTTGAGTCTTTCAATAACAAACTACTAAACAGACTTCACAATATATTAAAAAAAAAAAACTCTATGCTACAAACATACTGAGCTCTTAACATGTTTTCTTGTTCTTGAATTCTGGAGACAGTAAACCAGATAGAATTCAGATATTGATTTCTGCTTGTGCAGTGGCAGCAAGAATTGCAGTCCTTATACATACAACAATAATAAGAGCGAATCTGTCTGCCAAAAGACCAGCTAATTACTTGAAAAGATGTTTTCTCCTACTCGCTTTCTTAAAATTCGAACAGGTTTTAAAGATCATATTCATGCACAAAGTTTGCCTTGTGGTAATCCGATGATATTACATAAATCAACACCCAGTTTCCTCTTGTGAATAAGTCATTTAAAATCTGATCCATTCTTAGGCCTCAAGAACAGTTTTGTTCATATGGCCACACAGTTTTATAGATTTAGAAACTGCAGATTTGAGTTTACGGTTTATTAACAGACTAACACAGTATCATAGCAAAATAGCTAGATCCGTCTGAAGCAACATTCATAGATCTTAGTGTAACTGTGTACCAGTTCTGTGGCCTTCAAATAAACATTGCTTTTAACCCAGTACTTTAGAAATTACCCCAAACTCCTTCTTCCTCCCTCAAAGGTACCTTCAATGTTTACCTTTACCCTCTGGACAGAACTCAAAGTAGTTAAATCTTCTTAAGCTGATGCAAGGAATTCCAGAGCCCTTCCCAGACTGTGATTGTTTTTGCTATTAAATTCTGTAGCGCTGAGGTTACATCTGCTATGAGTCAGTGGGCAGGAATGTTACGAAGGAGCTGCAGTTATCGAGACTCTAAATTGCAACATAAGACGGAGAAGATGGTGATGCCGTGTCCAACCCAGCACTTCTGAAACAAAAAAAAAACATAGACCAAAATAATAGAGGATCAGCCATTCTTTTTCGTTGCTGTGATCCAGGAAATTGCCTTCAGCATATCACTCAGCTGTATACTTCAGCACATTCTAGAATCAGAGACTAAATCTCTCAAGCTTCAGACGTAAACAGAGAAATTAACTGACTCAATTTAGAAATTAAACACATTCACACAATATACCAAAAGTTATATACTAGAGCTGATAGAATAAAAATAAACTCACAAAATAACAAATACAAAAGTGCAGACAAAGCCAAAGGGAATATAAAAAAGAGCACAGAATCCTATTTGATGTAAGCCAGTACATTTTAGCCAAAATGGAAGGCAGCCAGAAGCACATATTCCCAGTGATTAGGTTAGAACGAATTTCCTTTATTTGTAAGTTTTTAGAGTCAGATGAACGCATCAAAGACTTATTTAAAATGTAATGTTTAGATTGCTTGTCTTATTTCTATGCTGGCTCCTCAAACAGTTTAAAAAAATGAGCATGCTTATAGGAATGCTTCTGTGAGGAGTGAACTCTAAGGAAATACCAACCAAAAGCAGTAAGTGCTGTATATCACAAATATAAATACTGACACGGTCAACACATTTTAAAGACAAACACTTGATGAACATTTCCTTTGATTACTTTTAGGGGTGCTATCTTTTGCATGGCAGTCTTTCTCTACGCTAAATACTGAAGACCAACTAAAAAACTTCAAATGCTGAAATTCAAATACTCAATAAATGTAATAATTTACTCATGAATAGCCTACACCACGAATCATTCAAAGGTGTATTCCAAAAGACATTTTTACAGAGAAATCTGCAATGGCTGATATAGTTCACAAGAAGAGAGATAGCTGTTCATAGTGTGGCTCTTAAAGGATGCAGGTAAAATGTGACCCAGTAGGTGGACTCTGAATCTGGAAAGTGGAAAAAAGAGCCAGCATTTTAAACTCAGATTAATTAAACAATTAATTAAAGGTTACTAGTGGATTTTCTATCATTTAAAAGAAGACTAGATGGCTAATCATATACAGATTACTAACCTCAGAGAAAGAATTACAGAGACCTGTTATGCAGGATGTCTATAGGTTATACATCATTACAGTGATTTTGCAAGAATAAACACATCAAATATAAAATCCTCAAAGAGCATACAAATGAAAGCCATATAAGCACAAAAGGAAAAGAGAAAAGCTTTTTCTCATACCTACTGGATGCAGTAAACACTGAAAATTGGCAAATGCCATAGACATCAATGTGGCCGCCTAAAGACCTGTCTGTTCACATGCATCTTGCTCATATCTGTTACTCTTTACAGAGTTTTCGCAGAAGTGAAGCAAAATATGGCAAGTATCATGAACTACTCTCATCATTTTTGACAAAACTATGTATAAAGAATAAAACGCTGTTCCTCACTTCTACACTAGACCAAATATCTGTTTACATCTTTCCATAAGCAAGGCCAGATCAGTCAGTAGCATTAAATGCATCTTATATCTCCTGTGGATGTTTAAAGAAAGCATTTAGCAATAAAAAGCAATGGTCTTTGTTCTCATTATTGGTACTTTCATGCAAGTGCCTCCTAGGGTCTTTTTATCTCACAGACATTTAAGAACTTTTAAAATTAGTGAACACAAGTTAATGTTTTTCTAACACCCTTTCAGCATTAAGATGCAAAAGAAGTTGCAAGCACAAAAAAAGCTTTAATGGTACACTGAACTATCAAGAGTTTTTCTCTGGTAAGCTGCAATCCAGGTATAAAGCACCATTTATAAAATGTGAAGATTTATATTTTCACATGTGTATGATTCTTGTCCAGGAAAGTTTTAAATCATGTTTTGTTTCTGTGTAGAAATATGGAAGGGTCAAAGATTGTATAACCACAAAATGGTAACTCTGTGCTTGCCAAAATGTATTTTGATTCCATCTGTTATGAATTAATTTGTTTACACTCTTCTCTGCATTGTTTTAATTTGTGGAATGCTAAGGATAAATAGAAAATAAGTAATGGACTCTTTTTCTAGGACTGTCGGAAATAGCATTTTTGAAAATATTCTTTCAGCACAAGGGAACATTAATTAGTCTTTCACATATGCTTAACAAGTAACTATAATAAAAAGACCTTATCTTTAAAAGGAAAATGTTTCTTGGTTTCATAACCTAGTCCCCAAGTCTTTTTCCAAGTCTGAAAACTGACAGAACACAGCCGTAATCAAATGTAAGCCAACCTCAGATGTATGCTTTCTTCTCTGTTATGTCCATAGTTTTAGAGGGAGCTTCCTTTCCAAAATGATGTGCAGAATTTTTTACAGACTAACTTAAAAATGACTGGGTATGTTTACAGGAAGCTCTTCTTAAGTAGTTATCATAATTGACAATGTGCCAGGTACCAGAATAATACTGTATCCTTCACGTTGTAAGCATATTCCACAGACAATTGCCTGAGAGGTTCACACACATCTGCTATGGGTGTTTGCATAGCTAATTGACACATTAAAAGGTTTCCAACTTTGCAGGGGAGACTACTGATGAAAGTGAGTGCAGCTCTGTCAGCTTGAGTGGAGATACTTCAACAGTTCGCCACAGTTTGCCTGTATTTGTTAAGAGACAATCCACATTTTCAAGAGAGTAAAGTGATTGAAAAATGACATGAGACTTGGCTAGCGGCTTGTACTGCTACAAAAAAATTTCCCCACAAAGTTTTTGAAATTTAAATATAGGTAATAATTTAGAGTCGCACATAAAAAAAAACAAAATATGTTGTACTTACTTTTGTATTAATAGGTTCTCAATGCTCTCTCTCTCTCTCTCTCAAGCCACTTGCCTTTTCAGGATTTATTTGGCATAATCTATACCAACTTAACAGGAGTGCAGTTTAATTAAATGACTACACCTCAGGTAAGATCCTGGACTGTTTCCTTTGTACATGAGCTTGCATCAAAGTATTGAAATAGCTACTGAACAAGATCAAGCTGAAGTGAAACACTCTTGACGGTACAAATTCCAAGAGTTAATGAGATGTTGATAATAGATCTCCTTGATGAAATTCTGGTTGTTCTGGTTATTCACAGGAAAGCACATGAACACCTGTTCTACTGAGCATAAGGAAAATCCACACGTTAGCAGTACTGTTGTTCACTGCTGCAACTCTCTGCTTACTCAGCAGTCTACCCAAAGCTCACTTAATTTTCTCAGGGTTACTCAGGACAATAAATGCCCTGATGATGCCAAATGACTAGCAGAAAAGGACCTCCTATTTATTCTGGAAGGACAGAATAAAGGACCTTGATCTTTTTAACATATTGCTCTAAGATGTATTGCTCCAAGATAAAAAGGTGTAACAATAAAATCCAGGCTTTAAAGAATTCACTTCCATTTTGCATGGTATTCTAAGACCAGATACATAATTAAGATATATGATAGAGAAATCAGTAGAAGCATTAATTAAAATGGATGAAAAGAACAGCAAATTCAACATCCTTAGACTGCTTTATCACATTCCAAATTTCATATTTGGTAATAGCAAATCCTTATCCTTATGTCATCAGCAAAAACAGAATTACCAAAATAATTCTATTAGAAATGTGACGGAAATATTTAGATGATAAAATTATTAAAAACACTTCAAAGGTACTCTAATTTAAATCCTTGTATGGTCCAAGGATGTATCAGGTCGTAATACTTTTACTTAAAATACATATATGACTACTTAAGAAAAGCAAACATCTATTTTGAAATCAGAAGTTGTATTTTCATGTTTTGACTACAGCCACTTACACCTGAAATCTGTCATCCAAAAAATGTCTAACGACTAAAATGTGTAAAATGATAATAATTTTGCAAATACATGTCTTTTGGAGTTCTTTGACATATCTGCAAGTAAATGTGAATAAAAGATGGGAATGTTAATTCAAACAACACGCACAATTTCATTTGACACTTCGTTTTTAAAAAGTGATTTTATTGAACTGTTTGCATAGCACTATTAGACTTCATGTTACATCAGTATAATTACAATGAACTCAGTACAACATGCTTTATTGCCGGAGGATGAAATATAGTATCACATAAAATTGATTAACTGTGTTGCTACAGAACTTGTCATAATGACTTTTGCTACAGAGAGCCAGCACGTACAAGGATGTGACAGTAAGATCATGTAATTTTTAGGAAAGTTCAGTTTTCTGGATCAGATGTTGGCAATCAGAGTCTACAGTGCATATAAAATGATCTACAATTTCATCAGATTGCTTCAATTTTAGAAGTCTGAACACAGATGGAAAAATAATGAGGTGGTTTTGAAGACTTCATTGTAGCTTTTATGTGCTAACTATTCCAATGTTTACGTTTTTGAACAAAATCGAAGCCATAAGGTGAAGAGAATGCAGTGTTACAAATGTGCAGAAATGATTGCTATCACGTACTTTTTCATTTTCCAGCCACAGAAGAAAAAAGCACAAAGGACCTACAACTCCTTACTCTTAGAATGGAATCTCAAATAGTGGCACAATATCTTTCCTTCTCTAGATTCACAACCAAGGGAAAAAAAGATCTACTTATGAAATGGAAAAAAAAAAAAGGAATTAAAGGCTGATGCTACTCACTTTTCTGAGGAATCTGCAAACATGCTTGTTTAACTCAAATTTGTTATTTCAGAAGAGCCAAACTATTTAATTTCTTCTTGGAAACAAAAGGAATAAACTGAAGATGTTACTGGACTGGAAAAAAAAAATAGATGAGACTAGATCGCTACGAGTACAATGTATCACAAATAATGCTGAACTAAGCAACAAACAAACATCATTCAGGCACCATTTTTGTAGGTTGTTTGTGAAAATGGATCTGATATTAAGAATGAAGTAGTATTTGTGCATTTGCACATTTGTTCATTTGTGCACTAACCTCTTTGCTATAGAGGTCTCCTTTAAAATGGTTTTCAAAGTAACCTCTAGCAGAACCTGACTTAGAAGGGCACAGTGAGAAAATCAGGGCCTAAGGAGACGCTCCAATGTTTTGATTTTGTGAAATGAGCATACTTAATAAACCCAAACTGCCTATGCCTTGCAGTTGAAGGGGATTTCATTTTCTGATGAAATTATTTTGAATACTTCATGGAGAATACTTCACTTCCCACAACTACCTCATTTTTTTTACCACTAGATGGTTTGATATGACCCACTACTTTTTTACTAGAATGTGCTTATCGCTTGATTTGGGGTTGTTAAATGCCTGTGCCTCAGCATTACGCATGTAAATTTATTATTAGATGAAAGAAGCCTGGACTGACATTTATCTTGCTGAACAAATTAACTCAAAGCTCTTTGCTATGGCCTTGAGAGGAAGATGTCTTTTCAATTTAGTGTTACAATAAGGAGTAAACACTAGCTTTAACATTGTAGCCTATTAGGCACTGCATGGCCATATTTTGGTAAACCAATCATTTTTAGCCAATTTCTTTCTTTTTCAGAAAAAAAAGAGCTTAGATGTGATGAAATCAGAAAAAAAAAGTGAACAATGACTATTTGAACTGAATGTCCTATTCAACAGTGCCTTTGTTTCAGGACCTTTAAAATATTCCTCCCATGAACTCCTCCTTTAATCTTTTCATTCTTGGTTAAACTTTTAGTCCTTATTTCTTATTGTTTATAGTCCTCATGCTCCTGTATTTTGTTTGCTTCCTTCCCCTTGCCTTTTATCACTCCCTGGAATAATAAATTAAAATTAACTTCTTGATTAGCAGATGTACAAGGAAAAAAATATGCCATGCCTCTGACATAGCATTCAATCTAATTAAAATAGGCTCCCTCCTAGGTTTCAGTTCAGTTTCTGTGAGTGTGCATTCATCAGCATGTCTGCTGAGGCAGCGTTTATAACAAAGCTCTTTCTAGTAGGAATTATCCAATAAAATATTGACAAACACCAAAGCTCGTTCAATAGTTATGGATAATATAGAGGCTCCTTAGTGTCCATCTAGACCTTCCCCCACAAATATGTGTTTATCTTTTTTAACTGACAAGGCGTTCTCTAACCCATATTTGGTTTGGCTCACAGAATCTTTCCAAAATCCTGGTTCATGTAATAACAGTGCAGAAACACCTTCAAGAAAATAATGCTTCTTGTGGTAAGCTCTTTTATGCTTATGAAAGTGGAGTTCCCTACCCCACAATGAAAATAAAAACAGCTTTGAGGAGCTATTAGTGATTCTTTTTTTTCTGAAGCACTAATTTTAACCTTTTCTTCTTCCTTTTTTTTTTTTTTTCCAAGACAATTCCAGAAGGGATAGAAACATGAAAACAAGGGGAAAAAATAAGTCACACTGCAAATGTCAAGCAAGAATCAGAATAAGGGTTCTTCAAACTACAAGGAGAGAGCTACATATGGCACCTTGTTGTAAGGATGAGAAAATACACAATTATGACACATAAGAGACTACAGTGAAGAAATAGTTCCTAAGACATACTGGAATCTATTTAACTTATAGCTTTTCCTTAACAGTGTTCCACATTTTTTTTTTTTGCATAAGAAAACTTTTTTTTTCAGTAAGTGATAGAAGTAGCTGTGTTTTAGAAATAAATTACAATAACAACAAAAATTAGCAATTGTATTAAGGCATTAATTTTCTTAAATTCTGCCTCCACCTGCTGGCCAGTGGGCGGTATGGCACTATGATAATACAATCAACTTGCGAACATCGTGAATACACTGCTGGATAGAGCAGGTATCTGAGGCCAAGAGAAAATAATATTAGTTAAAAGCATTTTTAAAAAAAGTCTAATAAACTAACTATTAGCTCTAGAATCATACCCACTCACTACATATAGAGTGTCCATACAGATTCTTGCAGATTCTTTTCAAAGTGGTTTCAGCTATGGAAATACGCTCATGCAGCCCATGGTAGAAATAGGAGAAAAACGTCACTCTCACAGGCAGTCTCTAACTCAGTCCTTTCGCATGCTGAACCCCATCCAGAATGACTTCCTTGTTGTTGGGAGCATCTGCTGGAGAAAACAAAGACAGTTTTACTGAAACCTTCGTATTCCACAGGTTTTCTGAACATTTTGTCCCTCCCCCTTCTAAAAGAGAGATGGATCAACGCGTTGTTGAAAACAACTTGTGTCATTTTTTTTTTTTCTTGAACAGAAGAAATGGGCATCAACAACAACGCGGGGGGGTTGGACTATATTTTTGTGTAGTATCAGTAGAAGTACCCAAGACAATATGAACATATGTAAATATTTAACGCTTACACCTTAGCTCAGTGTAATTTAAATCTTTAAAACATTAACTTGTTTTTCCTGTTCCTACAATGGGACCTCCTAATGAGTGAAATATAAGCTACATGAGCTTTATGGGAAAAGACATTGAAAATGCTGAGTGTACTGTGTCAGTTTAGCCCTCTGAGGTCTAATAGCAAGATAAGCTACAAGTTTATGGGTCTGAGCAAGGTCTGTAAAGCAAAGTATGACTGCCACCCACAAAGAAGAAACAACTATGAAGGAAGGAAGAAAAGGAGAGAAAGAGGGAGAGAGAGAGAGAAAGAGGGAGAGAAAGGAAAAAGAAAGAGGGAGAGAAAGATCCGGAAAGGACCCAGGCCTGCACCCACTTTCCACTCCTGTATTTTCGGTTGTGACCAGGAGTTAAAATACCGGTAGGCAGAACCGGCCTCTGTAATCGGATACTGCTTTAAATAAAGAAGGGCTCCGATCCCATCCGGTGCTCGTGGCTCTGACCTCATGCTTTTACCAGCACTTCTCTAAGGAGTAAGGTCATTTTTAGGGTTTATCAGGGTAGGGCTGCTTCCGTGTTTATTTTTCGAGCACGACGAGCGCGGCGCCCCGTACCCACGGGTCTCCAAGGGCAGCACCGCCGCTGTCACGCGGGCCTGACTAGAAAACTACAAGTCCCAGCATGCACCGCTCTCAGACAGACCGGGAGGCAATCCGCTCCTCGCGCGCTGCAAGCTGGGACATGTAGTTCCAGCCGCCTTCCGACGGCCTGCAGGCTTCCCGCCCCCGCTCGCAGAGAAGCGCGGCAAGCGCCGCGGCCGCCGCGTCACGTGGCGCGGCGCG